AGAGCCAGAAAAGGAACCTGGGGACGAGCCGCTAACCTCTGAAGATGAGGAGTGGACCCCCTCATTGCGTGAAAAGCTTCAACAAGAAGCTAACTCCGAAAAGCATCAGTTGACGCACTTTCCTAAGAACAGGTACTGTGAGATTTGCAGGAGGGCTAAGATGACCGCAAAGGTTCACAGAAAAAGGGGTCTGGAAACAGATCCGGAGGAAACACCTCCTCTGCATTTTGGCCACAAACTCCGAGCAGACCATATGATCACGGGCTTGTCAAAAGGGTCAGATGGGGAAAGCTGTTGTTTGGTAGTCTTAGACGACTATTCAGGTGCGTTTGCCGCGTATCCGCAAACTAAGCGGGACACCGATAGCAACATCAGGTGTCTTCAGCACTTTGGAGGAACCAGACTCCACTGTGTCAGGTCAAAACCGAGTGTGCAGAAGAGCTCAAGGGTGCCGTAGAGTACCTTGGGTGGCTTCCAGACCCTAGTGTTCCAAATGATCAGATCCACAATCCAGTCACGGAAAGGAAGATCAGGAGCATTAAGGAAGCCGCTAGAGCTGTTCAATTGAAATCTGGTTTACCTCACCAGTTTTGGCCAAGAAGTGTTGAGTACGTGTGCACCGCATTAGCCGTGTCAACAAATGCGGCAATCCATCCAAATGATTCGGATGATGTCAAAAATCTCAAAGCCACTCAAAATGCATATGAAGCCGCGAGCGGCGGTGACGCCTTCACAGGTTTGAAGCTGCCGTTTGGTTGCCTGGTGTTTTACAAGCCGCCCAAGCATCGAGAGCTTCCGGACTTCGAGCCGAGGACATACCCCGGCATATTCGTTGGCTGGAGGATCGACGCAGGATACAAATTTAGGGGCATACACCTCGTCCTAGACTTTGAGTCGCTTCGCAAAAACACTCAAGGTTGTGGTAAGCCAATCCAAGTTTACGAAACAGAATTGGTCGAACCTTCAAATGGACATTGGGTTTTCCCTCTTTTGAGGCAGAGCAACAAAGGCTTCAGCTGCTCAGTCCGATATTTCAGCCAGGAAGGCCCTGCCTTTTGACGATGAAGTCCCAGATCCTGTCCCTAGGAGAAAACGAACCTATGTGACATTGGAGAGGGCCATCAAATTTGGTAGAACCCCGGGTTGCAAAGGGTGTGAAAGGATCTCGGAAGGAGTGCCGCACTCCGATGCATGTCACGACAGATTCCGTGTTCTCCTCGAGGATGAGAGGCTGGCACAGGAGGCCAAGGCTAAGGCCCGGGAAGAGGCAGCAGCAAGGGGGATACCGATGCCTCCGACTCCTGCTTCGCGGGGTACACCGGTACCTCGTACTCCTGGATCAGGCCCAGCACCTTCAACACCAGTTCCGCCCACTCCAGCAGCAGTCATCACGCTAACCCAAAGGACCAGTGAAGCAACCGATGCTCCTGGTACCACCGCCATCGACTCTTGTCACAACTGTTCTTTTCAAGACTCTAAAAACAAAGGGCCAAGATCAGATGTCAAGGGGGCAAAGTCTTTGGTTGAGGGCAACTCCGAAACCAAGGATTATTGGGAGTTTGATGAAGCAAGGCACGCATGGGTACTAGTGCATTTAAGACCTAGGAAAAGGCTATTTGCACCAGTGAGTAAGGATTGTCCTTTCGACTCCAACGAGGTTGAGCCGGAACGCATCACCGAGTGGAGATGCAAGGGGAAGGTTTCCGTGCATAGGGACAACTGGCAAGAGACTCCGTATCAAAGGATTTCATCCAAAAGTTGGTTTGGTAAGACGTGGTTCTTTCCGAAAGGACGTGTGTCACCTGATCAAGCGCAACTGTGTGCAGCCGCAGCCAACCCTTCGGACGGTAATCTCAGAGCTATGCAAAGGTTCCTTGAGCAAGCCGGTGACAGCCAAGCACGAACTAGGAAGGCCAAAGAAATCCTTGAACTCACTAAGGACTTGGTCAAGCCTGCGCGTGAGGACCGCAATGGTCGATCGGCGAATCCGACACTCTTTGAGTTTTGTTGCGATGAGAACTCAACGTTGGGTCAAATCAACGAGGAAAGCGGAAGGAATCAACCATTTCCGACTCACAACAAAGAACTCTGACATGTCAAACCAGTGGGAAAATGACAGTCTTTTGAAGGTCATAGAACAATTTCCCGGGTGTGACTTGTGGGGATCGATTCCTTGCGGCCCCTGGTCGCAATGGCAGAATGTAAATCTCCATCAATACGGAAAACCGTTAGCTAAGAAACTCAAGAAAATGCGCAAGCATTCTAGAAAAAATTGGCAAACTACATTCGTTGTGCAGACAAAGGCCTCAGTCAAGGCGGCCACGTTGCCTTCGAGTGGCCGAGGACATGTGCGGGATGGGACTTGCCAGAGCTAATCAGGTTTATCAAGAGGCATGACTTGTTCGTGGCGGAACCTCAAGGTTGCGCATTTGGACTCTGTGACCAAGAAGGTAAATGTCACCTCAAGACGTGGAGAGTTGTTACCTCTTCATGGAGGTTGGCTAAAAACCTAGACGGTGCCAGATGCCAACATCCGCATGACTATAAGCATTCACCTCTAGCAGGCAGTAAGACACCTAGAAGTGCCTTTTACCCGATGCCTATGGCAAGGTGCATTTCTCAGTCCTTGTATCCTTGGATTGAGGCACCGCCTGCAATGCCTGTGCAAGTGTCAGCTGGTCCAAACTCCGCGCAAGTGTTCCTGTGTGGCGACCACGCCCCAGAAGACGAGGCAGGTCATCAGGAGCTGCCAGGAGTAGAGCATGTGTTTGCTGGCATCCACAAATTGTTGGAGAGAAAAGATTGGGGTAACTTTCCTAGAGCGCAAGACGCCATTGACAATGAAGTGAATGGGCTAGTAGCTAACGGAACCTGGACTTTCGATGAGGTAATTTGAAAAGAGGACCTTTTGGCGAGATGTAAAAGGAACAAGGAGCATATCAACATTGCTTCCCTAATGACCATCTTGTCGATAAAGCATTGGGAAACCCCAGAACTCCGTAAACTCAAAGCTAGGATAGTTTTCCGAGGGGATCACATCCTCACTGAAGACAACAATCTTGCGGTGCTCCAAGAAGCAAAAGTCACTCCGACCGGAATGACCGGTGTCAACATCAATCTGGCATACGGCGCCATCAAGGATCACGAAACTCGTCAATCAGACGTAGTGAAGGCCTACACCCAAGCGTACCTTGGGACAAAGGTGCCCACATGGGTGATCTTGCCTTGGGAATTGACTCCTCCTGAATACCGGCGCTTTAAACAGCCGTGTGTAAGGTTGGTCAGGAGCCTTTATGGCCATCCCGAATCAGGATACCATTGGGATCAGAGGCTAAGGGAAGTAATGAAACTTTTGAAAGGTCAACATGTTGATGAATTTCCATCTTCATTTTGGTTTCCACAAAGGAAGCTTCTTGTAACTTGCTACGTCGACGACATTCTGTGCTCGGGGCCGTCATCAGAACAAGACAAGTTTTGGCAGGAGATTGAAAAGCACTTGGAGATTGAACCTCCAACTCAGGTTGAACGCGTGCTGGGCAGACAGCACAAATTCGATCGAGCCAACGGATCGACCAAGGTTAAGCTCGAAATGTTCGATTTCATCGAGAACGCATGTGCAGTGTACGAGGACTTGGCTCAATGTAAATTGAGCGCAGCCAAAAATCCTTTCTGCCCAGAAGGCAGCCTTACAACCAAAGTACAGGGGTTTTGGCAACTTCTGCATGCAAAATCTTGATGAAGATCCTCTGGTGCGCTAGGCTAAGCCGACCCGACCTAATGAAAGGTATAGGGGATTTGACACGTAGGATAACCACTTGGAGTCGCGCGGATGATAAACGGCTCCATAGGCTAATGTGCTACCTGTATGGGTCAAAAGGGTACACTTTACAAGGACATATAGGCGACCCGCCAGAACTGCTCAAGCTGTGCTTGTACACAGATGCAGACCACTGTAGTGGCATCGAACATACAAAAAGCACGAGCGGCATGTTCTTGTCCATTGAGGGCCCTAACACCTTATGGCCAATCGCGTGGGGCAGCAAACGCCAAACCGCGACTGCCAGGAGCACAACAGCAGCGGAAATGATCTCGCTAGGATCAGGCCTTTTCGGCGAAGCGCTGCCAGCACAAGGCTTCCTTGAGCTGATCTTGAACCGTCAGGTTACGCTTGAGTGCTTTCAGGACAACTCAGCTGTAATCCAAATCGTGGCTGCGGGCTATAGCCCCAAATTGCGACATCTCACGAAGACGGAGAAGATCGAACTAGGTTCAGCTTATGAGGTCTTCGAAGATCCAAGTTGCAGACTCCTGTACATAGCAACGGACAAGCAGCGAGCAGATGCGTTCACGAAACCACTGCCGGTGTGCAAGTGGGACCATGCATTAAACCCACTAAACATGGCATCCTTAAGCTCAACTTGCAAAGTGCCACCTCGTGAAGCGGAAACGCTCCGAGACCCGTAGGCCAGATAGTTAAATAACTAAACTGGAGTCTGCGTAGGACACTTTCCGAGTATGAGAAGGGGGAGAAGAATGCCTCCTGCTGGAATCCACATTTTCCTGATGGTAGGTAGTGCATGCATGTCTAATTCAACCTTGCCACCGGAATTCATGTTTGCTTGAACTGCCCTTTGAATCAGGTTTCCAGGGTTGACACTGATAACAAACATTCAGTTCACCTTGGATTGCTTGAATGCTTTGGCTCAAGACAAAACAGGTTGTGCGAGTGAAGCTTCCGGTGTCGCCATAGCACTTTTGGGCACACTCTTTACTTGACTTGTCTTGATTCGTATTTCGTCTGGTCTAGCCTACATTTGTTTCCTTCAGTTGGTTCAGTTGTGCAAGCCCAGAGCAAACGCCAATTCGAGAAAGCTTCAGCCTGGATTTTAGATCTCACCCGATGCATCCGTAACCCGTAACCAGGAGCCCCGGCATCAGGCCGTACGCTGAGCGGCGGGAGGTTTGGGTCACTTCTTGGAAACCTTTGGACTACGTCCCAGGCCCCGCTGTGGAGACTGGAAGATTCAGTTCGGGACCGCTTGGAGGAGTTTTCGGTCCAGGCGCCAACTTAACATGGGCTGTCGAAATGAGTGACTCCGTTTTGGACTCAATGCGGGTCGAAATGAAACTCGGGTCCGAAACAGGGCAAAGGGTTTGACACCTCCCCACACCTTCAGGGTCTACATGTTTGCGCAATCGCAAAATGATGGTTGTCTTCCCAAGGACGTTTGGGATTCAGCTATGCCTGCATGAAGGTGCCAAAATGGTTGTGAAACCAAGGTCAACCACCATGAATGGTGGTTGACAGATGTTGATCATGTCTGCCATGGTTTTCGTTCGCTTTCATCGATGGGCGTGAGTGGTCAGGGAGAGGGCCAAATAACATGCGCTAGCGACGTATAGCGACGTAATGCAGTTGACGGGCGAAATCCTGCGCCTCTCTCAAGCCGCACGGCCCGCTCCCCCTTTTCAATGCTTCAGGCATCGCCAAAGGTGGTGCAGGATTCCGGTCATTCCAACATGCTGGCAACCAAGGGCACTGGCACTTCCAATGTCAAGCGCACGAGAGTTTTTGGCCAACCATGGCGAAAGCGTAGCAGGATTTTGTCCGTCAAGGGTGTGTTACGGTGTTGCCGTCGTTCGCACAGTCTTCGGCTGCAGCTCAAGTTGACGTGTTCCCTGCCTAGCCAAAATGCTCATAGCCTGCAGCGATGCAGGTTGAGACCTAAAGGGCACCTTCAAAAGTCACACGATTGACTGCTCGTCAGGGCGTTTATGTTTTTTGTGTCACAAAATGAAAGTCATGCGGATCTTCTTCAACAATGACCCCACCTTTGCACCCATTCAGTACTTCACGGGCCGCGGAGCAAATCCTAAAAGGTCCAAGATGGAGGACTTCTCAAAATCCTCAGCATGTCCACGCATCATGGTGACCGTGGTGAGCCTTCCTAGTGAAACACCAGAGCCCTGAGTGAAGTTGTTTTTGGACCCTCTGTATCCAAGTAGGTGAAGTCCAGTGTGTGCTGCCTACTGCTCAAGGTCCCTACAAATGGGTTCCCTTGTGATTTGGCTCCTGCGGGCAGCCATAAATGGTGACATTTCCCAGGCCCTTTACTTAAAGGCGCACCATACTTGGAAAGTGGACAATAACCACGCTTATCGTTATGCAAGTCTCCGTTCAGTGGGTTATAAACAGGCTTGCTAACCACTTCCCAAGTACCCAGTAGCCCCTTCAAGTATCCTCTTCTTCGCCTACTTGAGCCTACACCTTCGCCAAACAAAACACGTCAGTGACGTGGCTTCCGAGCGCAGGGGTTGGTGAACCTCACCTGGGCCTTTACACAGGCGCGCGGCGGTTGTTCGCTGGCTACCCCTTTGTGGGGCTTGGCTTACAGGGACACCAGCCAGTTTGTGGGGTTCCCTATTTCAAATCACAGAACAAATTGGGGTAAATCAAGTTTGGTGATGTTGATGCAGCTTTGGTGTTCCTCGGAATCCGTAAAGAGAGTTCTTCGGAAAAAGGTCCGCCAGTGAGGGTGTCTGGTTCTGAAACATT